AGGAAGGTCAAGTGCGTCGATAAATGGATCCGGATCTATCCCAATCGGATATATTCCAACTCGCGCAATGTGGCCATCGCTGACCCTGACCATTGTTGGCGATGTTGCAAGCGACAATAGTCGATTGCAACTTGATAGGAAGTGTCTTCCATATTCATACGTGTGAAAGCCAATCAAATCGGCTGCTATGATTCCCTTCAAAATGCAAGCACCAACAGGCAAGACTCTGTAAATTTACAAAATCAAGAGCTACCTGAACACCTCAGAAGAGGGAAAGGGAATGTGATGGAAAAACCCAATTTTTACATTTTTGAAGCCGGAAAGGTCCAACTTCATTCGAAGAAGACGAGGAAGAGTCATCAGCTGATAATCATGGATCCAAACCAAGTCATTATCCCTGCATTCTTTAAGAATTACATCAGCAAAGAGAGAATTTGCCTTCACATATGCCTCCCATGCAGATTCATCAAAGCTCATGTCCACAGGAAGATAATGGAACAACGGCCACAAAATGCTGTTTTGATATCATGAACTGCACATCTTACCTGTTTGCAAATGTGTTGTAGAATGGATTTGAAATTTCGTCGGGGAGAAATACAGGAATTGCCGAGTATTCGGAAAGCAGAGTTTCGCCAATTTGATCACGGTCTTCTTCTGGGATTTCAAAGCCTAAAAAAATCAAGTCTATGTGCGACAAACCTGGCCATCCGATCCAGATGAAGGATGTCATTTTTTTCATGCCAGCAAGACCGGCAACCAGCCCTCCCGAAGACCGCTTGTACGTCCACGCGCCGTTTTCTCTACTTAATGTCACAGGAAGCCTGTTTGAGACAACAAGCAATCGGTCCATTAGCTATGTAACTAATTTAGATTCACAGAGCCATATAAACGACAATGAATTTGGCTCATCCAATAAAATTCATAGCCCACTGATCACTTGAAAGGAGAATTGTAATTTTATTTTTAAAATTAATGAACAAGCACCCTAAGCTCCACTCGCCTACGTACGTTTCTGATGAAGAATTGAGCACGCAAAGTGAACGCAGCTCTTTTGCATCGGACGAAAGCCCTTTTAAATTTGATGACCATGCAACTCTCAACAGAAGTCTTTTACACTTGACATCATCACATACTTCGCAGTCTGAGGCCACCATCGGTCAAAAGCTGAGAAGAGCAGAGCAAGCGTTGATTGATGCCCAATGCATGATTATGGAGCAACTATCCAGGCTTCAAGCCGAAGAAATAACGCTGCAAAAATTGATCTTAGCAGCGACCCCCAAAGGGCATTCTTCTGCAGATTCCGGTGAGAAATGACCCTATGTGTGGGCATGGAAAAAGACCCTATGTGTGGGCATGGAAAAATGCCCCTGTCCATAACGAGACATGGTTGAAGCCTTCCCGACCAACTTGAGCAGCGAAATGCATAACGATGCTATTGGATCTTCCCCTGGTGCGTCAATGTTTAAATTGCACATAAAATAATTTTTAATTTTCAGTTTTGAAGCTAACGGCGAAATCAAGTTATGACCCTGTATGACGAGTTTTTCGGCGTGCTCTCCGCCATCTCGCCGACGTTTGAACATTCCACAGAGGACATATTATTTATCGAACTTCCTTCGAAATTCCATTCCACAATTCTCGATCTTATTCGATCATCAAAGGACAAGCTTTACATTTCGTCGCTTTATATTGGGTGTAGCGCCACTAAGGGCGATGACTTGTCCAAACAAATAATCTCGGCATTGAGGGAAAAGCTTGCTACCACTGAAAACGAAAATTTTACTTTAAAGATCCTAGTTGATGACACGCGTTCTGCACGAGCATTGGATAACTCTACGGTCGTCTTGGAGGCATTGAAGGACGACTTTCCGCATCTTCAAGTAGAGGTGCACCCGATTGTTGTGTCTGAATCTTTCTTTTCGAGATCGATGGGCAGGTTCTTTAGAAAATCGGAGGCTATCTCCAGACTCCAGCATATGAAATACATTGTGTCCGATGACAACGTTTTGCTAACCGGAGCTAACCTTTCGGAAGAATATTTCAC